TTTTGATTGAAAAATTTGGACGTGTTTACGGTTAGTCAGAGCAGCTGAGCCCCAGATGGGACTCGCGTAAGTGAGAATAGGCCTTATGATAGATTTATAAAGCAAGATCTTGTTATCAAGTGACAGGTCGCTATTTTTAGCGAAAAAGGGGCGCAGGTTGGCTTTGACAGCTTCCGCATTCGCAATAATTTTTTGAATGTGAAGTTGCCAAGTTAATTTTGAGTCAAGTAAAACACCAAGGTATTTGTAAGCAGTAACCCAGGGAATAGGTTCACCGAAGAAAATTAGATTATCTAAACGAGGGATGTTTCTTCGGATGAATAAAGTGGCAGCACATTTAGCGACATTAATTTTGATTTTATACAGTCCGAGCCAGAGTTCTAAGGCTGAAAGGTAACTCTGTAATGTAGAGATTACCGTGGTGATGTTGGTATGTTGAGTTAGGATGGCCGTATCGTCTGCATATAAAGCTAAATCGATACTGGGTGCCTTAGGCACGTCGTTGATATAGATATTGAAGAGCAGAGGTGAGACAAGACTGCCCTGAGGACATCCAGCATGGATCGGGCGGGGAGAGGAGAGTTCGTGGTTAACTCGTACGCGGAAGCTTCGTCCGGCTAAGTACGAGCTAATAATTTTAATGATGTGAGCCGGAAACCCAAGTCGCATGAGCTTGTAAATAAGTCCGTCATGCCAAACCCTGTCAAAGGCTTTAGCTATGTCAAGATAGACAATTCCAGTATTCTCTCGCTTACGAAAGCCTTCATGAATGAATTTCCCTACAACTAGTAACTGGTGTACCGTGGAGTGTTTAGGTCGGAAGCCGAATTGTTCCGGGATGATTAAGTTTTGATCTTGACAGAATTCATTGAGGCGATTAAGTAAGATATTCATATACTTTTGAGAGTGAGGAAAGCAGACTAATTGGCCTGTAGTTGACGGGTAAGTTTAGATTTTGCCCCGGTTTTGGAATGGGGACCGACCGTTGCAATTTTCCAGCGGTCGGGGAAGTAGCTTCTCCTTAGCATAAAATTAATAAGGACCGTAATCCAAACAATAAACATTACAGGGAAATTTTTAATCATGCGATTAGAGATAGAATCCATGCCTGGAGCCTTGTTGGGTTTCAGTCTATTGATGTATTCCATCACCTCTTTAGGATCAGTGGGCCTAAGTTCAGGCGTGAAAGGTTGTGTTAAAAACTCTTCAACACGTGAATGTATGCGCCCTTGAGTAACCGGGCGGTTACAGTAGGCGTCGTTATTAGGAGTGAATTGAGTAGCAAGGCTGTCGGCTAAGACTTCTGCCTTTTCAGTGTCTGTGTAAGCCATCCGTGCGTCATCGGCCGTTTGGAGCGGCGGAATGTGTCTGGATTGTTTGCGTATTCGAGCGGCAGCCCGCCAAATCGAATTGTCTTCAGTCGTTAGGGACTCAATGTAGTGTTTCCACTCCGTCTGTTTGAAGAGACGGGTTTCAGTCCTTATCTCGTTCTGTATTTTGCGAAATTGGGCGCGGATACTGGGATCACGCGACCTTTGCCAAAGTTTTCGCAAAAAGTTCCGCTGCTTAATTTTGGATTTAGTCTCAGGTGGGAGTCTGACACCCGGATAGAAAATTGGTTTTGAAGCCGCAGCTCTCGCTTCTTTGAGAATGGACTCCAAATTTAGTAAACACCTGTCAAAATCCGAATTGCTGGTAATTTTGATAGGGGGGTAGCAGTACGTTCCAAAATAAATCTAAAATCGTCCCAATTTGTAGAGACTTGCTCCTGTAATTTTGAGTAACGGATTTTGGATATCTAGGGTGATCAAAACTGGATAGTGATCAGAGTCAAGGTCTTGAATCACTTTTATTTCGTGTCTAAAATTGACATTATAAAAGGCAGCCAGATCAAGAACTGCAGGGGACCCTCTAACAGGGTAGTAAGTCGGGAGGGTAGGAGCTATGATCTGTATATGGTTTCTCTGGCACCATGAATTTAGACTAATGCCATACCTGTTCCTGTTAGGGCAAAACCATGCGGTATGACGTGAATTTAGGTCACCAGCAATAATTAGGTGATTTGATAATGATAAAAGTTTATCAAAATCACTGACAGGAAAAGTACCTCTTCCACGTGCAGTTGATAGTGGAGGCAGGTACGCCGAGATGACAGTTAGTGAGGGAGAATTTTGGAGGAAAATTTTGATAATTGTCGCTTCCAAAATACTTAAATCAGGAGGGGGTATCATGTGATGCTTAATCGAACGCTTCACGTAGATACAGGTACCACCACTTGCACGCCTGGCTAATGACACACCCTGTCAGTCGAGTACATGTCAATAATTCCCAATTTTGGGAGTTCTCCCTGGGGTAAGATGAGTCTCTTGGACTAATAACACGTCAAGATCGTGCACTACAATAAAATCTTTGACCTCATCGATCTTATTGATGAGGCCGTTTGCATTCCATGTGCACATGGTAAGTTCTCTGTTGGTAATTGAACTTTGTCTTAAACAGTTGAATTTAAGGCCGTGGTAAAAGGTTACAGCTCTGAAAAACTTAAGACACGGGTCTAAAATAGCCGAGAAATCCTAATTTGAAAGCATAATATAGCTTTCATAAATTAGGAAGGCCCTCGTAAGAGCGTCTGCCTGCCTAAGCTTTGGCAGGGCCCTTTGGAAGGCTTGTAGTAGAATATGCCTATCTACCGCAGGATCGCGGGAGATTTCAATTAGGCATTTTAAAGTAGAGGAGAAAACATCCTCGGAGTCTCCACTTTCTACTTGAGTAACCGGGGGAGCTATTTGAGGCACATTCGCCATAGCCGCCGGATTTGGACCCTGATTTTTGGGACGGGGCTCTGTAGGTCCTTTACCTAGGGTCGCTGCCTAAGACAGCGAGCTTGTGCTTTTAGGTGCAGTCACAGTGGCTGGTTGTACAGCTTTTGCTGGGGTGTTTGTAGTTCCCTGAGGGGGGGGCTGCAGGAGCAGCTGCCATAGGAGCATTCTTTTTTGAGCTCTTTTTGTTATTACCTGGGTAACGAGGACGAGATTTAAAGGACGCTGGGTGACTACCTCCACAGTTGCAGCAGCAGCAAGCAGGTTGATCGTCACTTAATGTGCAATCTTTTGCCCAGTGCGGGCCAGCGCATCTCACACAACGGATGTTAAGGGTGCAAGTTTCAGAGGAATGAAAAAATCCTTGGCACCTAAAGCATTGAGTAGGGCCTTTACGGCCTCTGTAAGCCTCAAATTTGACCTCAGCGCCCCACATATCGGTGACACTGTACAGTTGGTCTATGAAGGGATGAGGTCGGACTTGTATGTAAACAAGTGGCATAGGGTGTCTAGTGCGCGGTTTAGTCAACCGGGCGCACCTATGCACTTGGAAACCCCATGATTCCACTTCATTTTTGACGTCCTCGATTTCGGTTTCTTTAGGGAGGCCTCTGATAACAATTTTGATAGGCCTGTCCTGCTTTAGATCAAAAGTCTTGAATTGGATGCCGGCCTGCCGCATCCATCGTGTAACCTCCCTAAATTCTAGTTCTGTTTGAACAAATAATTTAAAAAAGGTCCAGTGAGAATGCACTTGATATTAGGGGCAATTTCTCGCAGGAAAGTCATCTGCGTTCTCCACTGTTTGCTGCTCTTAACGTGAATAGCCGGAATGGAGGGTTGCTGTGGGGGGGAGGAGCGCTCTGTGACTGCGCCATACTAGTTTCTCCTCCTGAAGTTTCCCCGTTAACAGGGGGGTGATTATAGAGCTTCCCTTGGCGGGACTGCGACCGCTGTCCAAGAGGCTTTCTTTAATTCTTTCATATTTGATTTTAGAGGCAATATTTTTTGAATTTGCAATTACTTCAGTGGGGTTACTATCATCAATTGTAATGATTTCTGGAGTTTTTTTCCTGTTTGCGTGATGCGGGGGTAATAAAGCCCTCCGAATCTACGCTCGCAGTCTTTTTTCTGCTGGAGGCAGTAATGGTATCTTGAGCGAGGGAGTCGAACTGGTCTATCTGCTTGCTTCTTTACGCTATGCGTGCGAGAAACAGGTTTCAAATTGTCCTTGAGTTTCTCCTTGCGGAGAAGAGCTTCTTTTTCGGCGGCCATTTTGGCAATTTTCTCGCTTTCTAATAATTGCTGAAATTCTTGTAAGGTGGCAGGGAGTTGGAATATCTGTACATTAAGTCGGTTTGCAATGTCGTTGATCTTATGAAAGAGTGTCTTACCCGCTAGGTCTAGTTGTTGGTATCCAGAAGTATCCAACATTTTCTGCTGTTGAATGGCTTCAAACTGAGTTTTGAGTCCGTAAAATTCAGTGATAAGATTAGATCGGTCGTCTTGGGTATTATCATCAGATGGATTGCTCTCTGTACATGATTGCACGTTTAGAGTATCCAAAGGTAAAGCATCTGTTTGCGAAAAATCACAAAATTCCATGGATGAAGGCTGTGTCGGCGGGAGCTCGCAAAGCGAGCGACCGTCCTCGTCCGCGTCCATACTCGGAATCGCCCAATCATAACAGGTCGCACTTTATGCATGACACGCAGAGTCGGGTAAGTGGTGCCACCTGATGTGTACCCGATGCCCTAGAAAGTAAAAATAATTAAAGTCATAGTATTCATCTTTAGTTGAAGAGCACTCTAAAGATGAATACTATGATTTTAATTCATTTACTTTACGTAGAGGAAGTATGTCATCGGATGACAACAATAGTCTGATCTACCATAATAAGCTGTTTCTCCCTTTTTTGGCGTCACGGTTGTTCTTCGAAGAATACCAATTACTACTAAGAATACCAGTTACAACTTAAAATTTTTTGGAAGAGAGAGGGAAAAATTTTTTAAATGTAAAGAGATACACTATTTCTTCAGATCTGAATTAATCTAATTAATTTAGTAATTCCATTAGTTTCAGTTGACTGAATTGGGGAGGAGGAGGATAGGGAAAGAGTGTTAGTTAAAAGCACACCCGCTGCAAACCGGATTGGCGCTGCAGTCAACCTGTTTGGCGGCAGGTTGTAATATGCCAGCGATAACGCTTTTCTTGACTTTGGTAATGTGGCGCCAGGATTCATATTAATTGTCACGCTTTCTTTGAAGCATCTTTGACACTAACAGCCTTCCCGTACGACGGCACAAGCTCGACTGAAATGTTCAAAATTCCAAATACCGATTGCAGAATGGAGATGACAGGATGGGAAGTATTTAACTTCAGTTGGAGTATTGAGAAAGTCAGCATGTGCCCCCATTCAGCGGGAGAATTTCTTTGTAGCCCGAGTTTTGTCGTACATTCTTTACCTGGTCTCAGTTGGCATTTGAATTTATATCCGCGAGGGAATGAAGAAGCAGATTTCAAGTCTGTTTATCTTATGAGGAATAACATCTGTGGCACTGCTGTATCGCATATTTTTACAGTCGGTGTTGGAACTGCTCTAAAAGGTGAAGATATGGTTTTGAATCGTATTGAAGAAATGCAGTGTTTAATTAGAATTAATTATAATTGGGAGTATGTAAAAAACCCTGACATTCTCATTATAAAATTGGCTTTAAAGCCACTTAATAAAATTAAGCACGACATTCTTCCTTCACTTTCCTACGAAAATGGACTTTTTGCAGATGCTGTGGTATGTGCCCGTGATTTTGATTTTCGGGTGCATAAAGCTATTTTGTGGGCTAGATGGCCTAAACTAGCAGAAAAGCTTGAGGCTGAAGCAACTTGCAAGACAGTTCTGGATATCGAACCTGATGTATTGAATGCCATGATTAACTATGTTTACACTGGTAAACTAGACAAGAATACGACTGACATTAAAGCGAAATTGCCTGCTGCTGCAGCCAAACATGAACTTCCCAAGCTGCACTGTATGGATGTTGTTACGCAGGAAGTCTGTACTCATATTAATGTGGAAGAAGTTTCATTTCATTGCAATGTAGACCGTTTAATTAACATGCCAAATAATACAGAGTTTTGCAGTGATGTATTTTATATCGACATGTTTGAGTCTTGTAGATGGTACTTGATTATTCGGAAAAAAACGAAAACAGATAGTGAACGCATACATTACGATGTTTCTCTCTGTAACACATATGGTTCAAAATTCAAGCCGCTTTTCGTGAGAAGCAATATAACCTATGATAATTCTCATTATTCTGTAAATGAACATTTATTTCGTAAAAATGAAAACTGGGTATGTGGCACGAATTCTTCGCATCCATCTCTCAGCCCGTTTAGTCTTAGGTGCGAGTTTAAATTTTCCGATTACCATAGTTTTTCAAAGATTATAAAATCTCGTAAGTTACAATCTAATAATTTAGATACCCTGCACTTTAGTAGTGATTTACGAAATCTGTACAAAACTGGCAAATTATCTGATATCACTATTACTGTCGGTTCTAAAATATTCTCTGCTCACAAGAGTATTGTTTGTGCACGATCTGCGGTATTTTGTAGAATGTTTGAAACAGAAATGAAAGAATCGGTAAGGAACAGTGTTGACATTTCAGACGTCGATCCCGATATAATGGACGATATGCTTCTATATATGTATTCAGGTTGCCTGTCAAAACCATTGGATGATGATAGAGCTGAAGAACTATATGCAGTGGCTGATAAATATGAAATTTCTGCTCTCAAGGAAAAGTGCTCGACCTATTTCATATCACGCCTTTCTGCCAGCAATGTATATCGAGTTCTTCAGTTAGCAAATTTACGTTCGGATGATAATTTGCACAAACAAGCAGTGGAATTTCTTTCTCAAGAAGAGTATATTTTTTCTGCAGAAGAATGGAAAACATTCTCAATACATAATGGTAGTGTTGCGGCCAAAGTTCTACAAGAGGTGAGATTTCAGAAAAAAAGGAAGAATAATTAATGAAAAAATCTGCAGGTTTCAGATTTTAAATTACCGCCAAAGGTGGTTTTTTTTAATGTTTTGTGTGTTACCTTTATTTTTTAAATACCATGTTCTTTGCACTTAAACCATAAAATTGAGCAATAACTTAAATAAACTTAAAGCATAAAATAGCAATGTCACAAAATAATTTTGAAATGAGCATATCTTTAGAATTTCCGATACACAGTTCCACGAGGTGGAGATAAAAAGTTTTTTTTGCCCTGTAGAGTGTTGCTATTGCTCGCTTTGAAATCCTTGAATTTGTTAATCAAAAATTCGTTAAAGTTTTAAAAAATATGAAATTGATAATGAAATAAATTTCAAATTTGGTCTTCCCCATGCCCATATTCATAGGATTACGTCATTCAAAATTCGATGGCTCTATGTACTGTTGTTTTATCATAATGCGAGAAATATGCATACATTTATGCAGATTTTTCATTAATTTCTTCAAATATAATTCAGGACTCTAACATTTGGTGGCAACAGTTTAAAAAGTGAAACGGATGTTTATAATGATTCAACACAAAATCGCAAAATGGAAACAATAGTCATTCAGGGACAAAGCCCCTTTGGACTACAAATTATTTTAGTTTCAAGATTCTCTAAGACCATGCATACAGAAGTTATCCTATTGTTATTTCCGTTGCCATAATGACCAAAAGTCTGGGATGATTGATTGGATCATTAAACAAAGATTGGTAAAATCCTAGTACACGGTGCAGCCTCGGCGCGATTTTGAAAATTATCGCCAACACCAAAAAAATTACCCAAAGAACGTCTATGTGTATACTATACACTATATACATAGTATATACTATATATAACTATATACAGTTAAAAGTCGTTAATCCGGACCTCAAAGCTACAAACTTTCTGTGCATGCATCAACACATAATGCCATTGACACATGCGCGTAGGCGTTTACTCGTGTGCGCATGCTCATAATACGTTCATGCATGCGCGTTTAATGTATAACGGACGGTATAAACTAAGCTAAAATTATCTAATTCAGTTAATGTTGCAGATTGCATTGTTCCTTAATCTTCGAATTGGATCCGGCTTATTATTTTTTGCAGACTGTTAGAGCAATTTTATAAAAGTAAGCTTGAACTTTCAATTATGTCAAATATAATTTCCAATATATATTTACTAATATGTAAAGGATCTACAAAGCGAAAGTATGTTTCGATGTCCATCAAACAAAAAGTGGAATTGCTGCAAAAAATGGATAAATGCATATCCTTTGTTTCTCTAACCATTCCGAAATCTATTTATCAATTTCACGCTGCTCTGCGGGGGGGGGGGGACGTCGCAGCGCGAAGTTGATCTGTCAGCACTATCCTTATCTTCAGGGCAGATGTTTTTATTTTATTCATCTTATAATTCCTTACTAAATGTAGTATTTCATCTTGATGTATTCCATCTTTGATATGATTTAAATCAAATTCCTTGTCATTATAAATATCACGAGTACACATCAAATAGTTTTCTGGTTGCAATTTTCTAATTTCGACTATGAGTAATGTATGCTTTACGCATGCGCGCATTGGAAGAAATGTTTAATAAAGTAAACAAATAAATATTAAGCTTTTTTTTTTTTTTTTTTTTTTTTTTTTTTTGTAAATTTTGATACCCTTTAGATCATAATTGCTCTTTATTTCATAAACTACGGATTCATATTTTTAATTTTATAATTTCTGCATGCCATCTTACGAGATTTAAACTGATGATCTATAATCCGGAATCGCCGAAGTCCCTACGAGTCCAGATTAAAGACTTTTCACTGTATATTCTTTGAATGACCTGTTTACTACTCATTGTATATGTACCGTTTTTACAGCTCATGATAGAAGTAGCCAAATCCCGTGTGCACCGGATACTAGGATTAAACCCAAAAATTTGTGAAAAATGTTCAAACTAAGTAATAAAATCTGTATACATATTGTAATAGTATTGACAATACACAGACTTAAAACAAATCGAGTTGACAGAAAAGTAAACAAAAGGATTTCAAGATTTGACCTAAATAAGCAGGTAAACAAAGTAACCAAGATCATAACGCAAAAATTTACCCCTTTCCTTCCCTTAGGCTTTTATGCCTTATGCGAGTAGCGTATCTAACTACTTCCTGTAGTAAGTAAAAGATATTGTTCCGAAAGATCCTATAAATTAAAAATCTGTGCCTTTTTAAAGAGGAGCATCTGTATACATTGCAATGAATAAAAACTTTGTCCAATTTAAAATGATCTTGATCTAAAATAATATTGAAATGTGTGTCGGAATTTGAATGGTTTATTCGGGTAAATTTCATTAAAAATGTATATTGTAGTAATTAGTAAATAGTTATTTATGTTAAGTTTTATTTCTGATATAGTAGAAGCACCCATCCGAAACCGTTGATGTAAATGCTAGACCATGAAATTGTAATGAAAGTCCCAGCAAAAGGTAGTGATAACTTTATTAATTACTATGGGACTATCCATGAATTTTGTCTTTTTTCTCTGCTTTAAACTAATACCTTAATTATCATAACTTTTCAGTGATAAATACATGAATTATTATAAAGCATGCTGCTTTTAAATAACAAATTAGTTCTCTATTATGGTTAGCATTATGCTGTTCTAATGGAAAGATAAAAATATAAATATGAAGCTAAAAAACTGCTCCTAATGTACGGAGGATTATTACTAAGAGTACTGGATTCCCGAGCAAAAAAATATTCCAAACTTAGTAAAATTTCAAAATCCCACAACATGTTCAGTGTTACATCTGTTTTAAAAACTGGTAAACATTTTCAGACATTATTATACAAAATTATTCTGAAATTCGGTCATGAAAAGTGATTTTTTGAATGAGGTAAGTTTAACTTCTTTAAAAGTTGCTTTTTCGATGCCAAAATTTTTTATTATTTGCAACTAACGAAATATAATTGTGCATTGTTTTAAAGTATAGAATTTTGCTGTAGTAATATAATGTACATATCAAAATTTATTTTTTTATCCAAAATTATTGTTTATTTTTTTATCCAAAATCATCTTTAGGTTAAACCACACAGTAAGAATTTAGGTTATTTTCTGTTGCCATCCCTTTAAGAAAAGTCGTTGAACGCTATTACTGAACAGTTCTTGGATTCGATTCCAGCCAACCTAATGTAATGTTTCTAAATTGGAAATGTATTTGTTATTTTTATTGCTATCCCTTTAACCTGTTAGCATGAGCGCCAAAATTACGAACACGAGAAGACACGCTGGGTATGTCATACCCAAAAGCAATTAACACGTCTTAAATTGTATTAATGATATAAATACAAGTATAAATGTGGATTAATGTAAAAAGAACGAACTTTAGAATATTTTAAATAATTTAATAAATGAAGTACTTAGCTTACAGTTATTTTGCACATCTCTGGCAGATTGAACACATATTCTCCATACAAATACTGATACAGTCAAAAGTCGTTAATTCGGACACCCATAATCCGGAATGATCTATAATCCTGACCTCAAAGTTAAGAACTTTCTGCGCCGACGCATGCACAGAAAGACCTTTACGGCTGTGAATATGCGTGTGCGCGTGCACAAAATACGTTTACGAATGCACGTTTAATGTATAACGGACGGTATAAACTAAGCTAAAATTATCTAATTCAGTTAATGTTGCAGATTGCGTTGTGCCTTAATCTTCGAATTTGATTCGGCTTATTATTTTTTGCAGACTGTTAGGGCACTTTTAGAAAAGTAAACTTGAACTTTCGATTATGTCAAATAGAATTTCTGATATATATTAACTAATATGTAAAGATCTACAAAGCGAAAGTATGTTTCGAAGTCCATTAAACAAAAAGTGGAATTGCTGCAAAAAATGGATAAAGGCATACCCTTTGCTTATCTAAACTTTAACGTTTGTTCAGCTTGGAACTACTCCAAATTTCTCGCCAAATATTTTTGCCGAGAAACTCCACGCTGCCATATTGCTATCTAAATTGTTTGTCTACATTTCGAACTTTAAGCCTAAAATGTCTCCAAAAACACGGTTTTTGCGATTGAACACACAATTTAAGCTAAAAATCTGAAACAAAAACAAAAAATTTAGATAGCAAAACCGTGAAGTTTCTAACCAAAATTATTTTACAAGAGTCCATGTACACAGCGATATGTTTTAATTTAAAGAAACATCTACGAATGGCACAATCTAGGCAACGAACGAATTTACGAACTACGCACACCTCGCTTTAATAAATTAACATAACACACACTAAATTTCAAAGAATACCATGTACACAGCATCCTGTTTCAACTTAAAAAAACATCTACGAATTGCACAACTTAGGCAACAAACGAATTTACGAACTATGCGCACCTCACTTTAATAAATTAACATAACAATAAATTTCAAAGAATACCATGTACACAGCGTTCTGTTTCAACTTTAAAAAACATCTACGAATTGCACTATTCAGACGGTATGCACTAATCAACAAAATAACTGAAATAAATTTCAAACAATTCAAAAAAACAACAATAATGACAGAAATTCATACTAAAAAAACAATGAACATTACATTCTACAAAATAAGAACAAGAACAAAATAAAATGCACTTACCATTAATGCTTTTTCGAACAGCAGATATATCAATTTCATACCGCCTTTAACATGCTGCCACGTAATCACTAGTATCGTATTTATATGACAGCCAGACACACTATCCAGAAAATTCATACTATGGTTCACAAATAAATAAAATAACAAATAATCACAAATCCCTACTTCTATCACGCACAACCACTAAAAATAATCTCTCATACCTTCTTTCCACACCTCCAAATACCCATTGCCCCTCAACAGGATTACCACGACGATATTTCCTTATGCCGAACTTCAGTTCAACAACTTTCACCATTAAATATTTCCCCCCTAGCTTCTCAGACACAAAGCATGACGGGAACCAACGAACTCCAGCGAAAGACTTTTCAACGTCAACAGGGTTGCCATACAACACGCAATCGCGCCAAAAACCAGCGCAGAACACATATCGCCACATTTGGTGAAATTAGGGCGTATATCAGAGTTGTACCTTTATCTTTAACGCCGCGGTGCGCAATGAATTGGAAGTTGATCTGTCAGCACTATCCTTATCTTCAGGGCAGATGTTTTTATTTTATTTGGCTTATAATTTCCTTACTAAATGTAGTATTTCACCTCGATGTACTCCATCTTTGATATGATTTAAATCAAATTCCTCATCATTATAATTCGCTTCCAATAGGGAAGAACAGCGGAACTTTGTAACTGAACAAGAAATTATGTCTGTTTATAGAATTAAAGAGAATGTATTATCACATAAAAAACGAAGCAACTTAAACAACTTACATTGAAAGAAATGTTTAATAAAGTAAACAAATAAATATTAAGCTTTTTTTTTTTTGTAAATTTTGATACCCTTTAGATCATAATTGTTCTTTATTGCATAAATTACGGTTTCATATTTTTAATTTTATAATTTCTGCATGCCATCTTACCAGATTTAAACTGATCATCTATAAACCGGAATTACCGAAGTCCCGACGAGTCCGGATTAACGAATTTTGACTGTACTACATTTCACGCACGGAGACTGTGTCTTTCTGTCCTTGTTTTTAGGACACTCAGCACATCTTCTGTAATGTTTTTTTTTTTAGATTGTGGCTCCATTTTGCAAATTCCTGATTATTTTTTCTTTTAGTTTCAAAGGGAGCATGATTTGCTTCCACTGTCAGGGCCAGATTACCAATTAGGCACAGTAGGCACGTGCCTAGGGCCTACGAAGGCCAAAGGTCTTAGGGCTTTGAAAAAAAATATATTGAAATAAAAATACCCCAAAAACTTATAAACATTTTTATATTATTATATAGTGAAGGTCAAAATAATATATGTAAATACAAATACACAAAAAATACGAATACAAAACGTTTGGTTTACTAAGTAGATCCTAAAATAACTCCTTTTTTCGGGATTTTGACACAGCGAATTCGTGTATTATATCTTCAAAATTAATGCCGCGAGCGACATCACTTTTCAATACACAGAAGGCCCAGTGACGAAGTTCTCTCTTGACCCATAGTTGAACGCATAAAATTTTCTATAAGCTTCAACTTGGAGAATGATCTTTCTCCTTCTGCATTCGAACCCAATATCGAAAGGTATATGCGCAATGCAATATTAACATTTGGGAAACTTGACACAAGTTTTATCCTTTATTGTAATTTGATGAGATCCGTTATAGAGGTGGTTTTGGGGTACAAATTTGAAAAAATCAAATACTCATCAACAAAGTTTTCTTCTAAGTCAGACGGATACATTTTTTTTACCAGAGCTTGAGCCTTAACCTTGATAATGTCCTCGGTCAGTGTATTATCCGTAAAGAAAACTAAATGTGTCATAAAGGCTGGTATATGCAGTGCGTCTCTTTGTCATTTCAGCGCAAAGCACATCCAGAACAATAAAAAAAAAACATTAATCTTAAAGGAATCTTTGGCACTGCAAGAGGGAGTCTCATCTGGCCCTTCATCGAACTGTCGTTTTCTCTTACGAACTCTAGTTTCGGATTCTTTAAATTCTGAATCTGGTGCAAGGGCTTTTGCCTTAAGATAATAGCTATTATACATGTCCTCAGTTCTGCAGTGAGATAAATATTGAATTAAACTGTCGTAAAGTCGCACCATCGTGTTAAAACTCGATGCCAGGTTCTTGAAGAGATTTATTTACAATATCGACGTGTTTTAGTAGATCTTCCCAAATAACTGTGAGTAATACCATCTCCAAAGTATTCATTTGATGGATTAAGGTTTGTGCCTCAATCACTGTTGTAGGTTTCATACCTTCACTAGTTGAAATATTGTAAGAATACCCACGTATATCATCATAATGGGCACATAATGTTTTTACAGCCTCAACGTGCTGACCATCTGGTCTCTGAAAGTCTTTTTACAGAAATTTTACTTCCCAAAGACCTTAGTTTAGACCATCTTTGAGGGGACGCTGCAAAGAAAATTGTAGAGCGATTGCAAAAAATTTCAAAAAATTTTACAGCTTCTAAGCAGCTTTCTGCCGCCGCTGTGCCAACTAGATTAAGACTATGAGCTCCACATGGTACCCAAGTGGCTGCGCTGTTGATTTCCCTAAATCTAGTTTGTACTCCCGAATACACTCCGCTCATATTAGCCGCATTGTCATAAGACTGACATCTGCAAAATTTTGGGTCTATTCCCTGATTTTCTAAAACTGAAATTAGAGTGTCAAAAAGATACTTGGCATCATGTTTTTCTGTTTTAACAAACATCAAAAATCTTTCATATATATCTCCAGTTTTTGAGACATATCTAATAACTATGGAGAGTTGATCCGTATGGCTAACGTCAGGTGTAGAATCCACAGTGATTCCATAATACTTGGCTTCTTTGATTTCTGTAAGAAACGGATCAAATTTGGCTAAGAGATCGATACACCCAAGAAAATTGCCATTACTAGGATCACCATGTATTTCATTATCGCCTCTAAACGCTCAGGGCCGTCTTAAGGAATTCGCCGCCCATGGGCTACTAAAAATAATGCACCCTTCTTCCTAAGAAAATACACAGAATGGCAAATGGGAGTCGGAAAAGTTATACTAAACAAAAGTGTCAGAACTAGAAAAAAAAAACTATTTATTACTTTATAATAAAATGTTATCTTTATTGTAACTTTTCTTTTAAAGTCACTTATTTAAAGGATGGGTTATAAATGTTTACCCAGATTTGAGGGGATTATCTCAATAATGACAGTTCCGATCAGTTTTTAGTCTAATCCTTAGAACTTGATCGGAACTATTATATGATTCTCCATCAGTGCATAACATAAACAAAAAATAAAATTTAATTAAATAAAAAAAACCATTTTAAGAACAAAAAAACACCTTAATCTAAACAAATGTAACTTATATATTTACTTTCCTAGCTTTTTCTTTGGCAAACTGATCAATAATATCAGTAGTACTTAAATTTTCAAATAAATCTCTTTCAATAGACAAAATACTATTGAGAATACTCATTGAGTTTACTCTGTCCCAAAGAAGATTGTAAGTAATTTTTTATTCTTTTGATTGCTGAAAATGATCTTTCGCCACTGCAGTTTGTTGTGGCGATACTTAAAAATATGCGCAGTGCTGTGGTTACGTTTGGAAATGTAGATTCAATTCTTAACTCGATTATTGTCTTTAAACTTAGTTCTGCGATATATATATTTTCAGTATTTTCCAATAAATTCACATGTTTAAAATGTAGGCATTCTTCAATAAAGTTGTTTTCTAAATCATTCTCATATATTTCGCACAACTTTGCAGCATTATTTCTAATTATGTTTTCATTTATATTTTTTAAATTAACTAGAAACCCAAATGTTGAATAAATGTCAACATATGCACATTTTCTCTTTTGTACATCTGCTAAAATTTTATCAATAATAGCATAATATGTTTTTATGCGGAATTCGTCATTTGCATCAAGTTGCACTTCTTCTGACGTATTTTCGTCGAACTGTCTTTTTCTTTTCCGTAACCGTTTGTATTCATAAAAGCCAGATAATTTTATACCCTTCTGATTTGTAAGGTTAAACGAATCTATATTTCGTTTCGATTATACAAATTTTTCTAAAGAAGCATATAATGAAACAATGCATTCAATTGTAATATCAAACTTTTTGAAGCGATATATTAGTTTTATCGATGGTTTCCAATATTTCACTCCAAAATGCTATCATAATAGCAGTTTCCAATGAGTTGTTGAACTCATTTAACAATCCCTGGGCTTCAACTTTTGTTGCAGGCTTTTGAAAATTATCTTCGTAAAGTTTAGTTAAAGCATTTTTAAATTTTCATAGCCCGAAAACCACTACTTTCACTGAATCAGCTCTTGCTGACCACGAGTGTCGCTTAATTTTTTGGGAACTTTATTTTTGCTGTTAGCGTATTTTTTAAAAATTCCCATCTTGATGTTGATGCGGCAAAGGAAAGAAATTGTATAAGTTTTGTAGAAACAAAAAACAATTTAGTTGCTTGTATGCAGCATTCAGCTGCCGATTGTCCAATTAAATTTAAAGAATGTGCCGCACAGGGCACGTAAATGGCAAAAGATTATTTCTAGATTTAATGCGTGCTTGGAGGCCGTTATATATACCCGACATATTAGAGGCATTATCATAAGATTGTCCTCTACAATCTTCTAAACTAATATCTAAATCAGATAATAGCTTTAAAATACAGTCTTGCATTTCTGAGCTCTTATGGCCAGTATTCTCCAAAATTTTAAAAACCTTTCAACGGGTGTTCCATTTTTATTGACATATCTTACGACAATGGTTAATTGATCCATATGGGAAATATCGGGCGTCGAATCTACTATAATAGAGTAATATTTTGCCTCTTTTAGTTCCGTGATAATAAAACATCTAACATTTCTGCCCAATATTTTTAGAAATTCATCAACAAATATTTGCAGATAAATAAGAAATATTCCCAGTAGTACCTTTATTTGCAAAATTAAATATATGTTGTTGCAAAATAGGGTCAAATTTTGCTAAATGTTCTAAGCACCCTAAATAATTCCCATTATGTTTATCACCAATAGTTTGATTTTCTCCCCTAAAAGCCAAACCCCTTGAACTTAAAAATTTTATGACTTCGATGATACGTTCTAAAATATTTTTCCAGTAATTCGTATTTTTTTCCATTGATATAATAGAATAATTTTTGAAATATTCCCATTTTTCTGTAGATCTGTTCACAATTATATGGGTGTTTTCTTTATGAAGGGCTGAATTTTCATGGTCCGAAATTTTTTCACTGTGTTTCCAATCGTTAATCTGCACTAAATGGATTATTGGCACTACCAAACAGTTTGCAAGGGATACTTTTCATGAAGTATTTGAGTATAAAAGCCAGTTTCTTTTTTGTTGTTTTCCGTTTTGTAAACGTCTATAAAATATCATTTTTGTAGCATATTTGCTCTGTGATTTGTAGACCACTTTAGATGCAGAAAAGTCTAGTTCTTGAATATCTACCTCTACGTTAGATATGTTCTTCATTATATCTATAATTTTATCTTCGCTTAATCTTCCCCATAATGCTGGATCAGTATAATTAACACTCAACATATTACTAAGTTCATCTTCATCTAAATATTCTCTTCTTGATCTTTGGCTGTGGCTGTTCCATGTTTGTTGTTTCTGGTTCTCTTCTTTTCTTTCACATTTGATTGCTGGGCATTATTGTCATACTGTGTTGATTTTTTTTTTTTCCCTCTTTGTGTTGCTCATCCTCTGTAATATCCATAGAAAGTGTTTCGCCTTTTTTAAAGAAATTTGTTAATGTAGGCATTTTTTCCAAGAGAGCTTTTGCCTCGCCTCTTTCTCTTCTTTTACTTTACGGTTGGCGGGAACCAGATAATTTTTTTTCGTTTATGTTCCATGGTTAGTCTTCCTACATAATGGAATAAAAAATTGTTATAAAATTGTTAAATATGTATATATCATTATTAATTAATTTTTAGCTAACATATACACTAGTGGACAAAAAAAAAAAATGCATAAAAAAAAAATGGCATTTAGCAAGATAATATTTATTAATTTTAAAAGGTTAAAAAATAAATTGTTTTTTTTTCATTTTATATTTAAAAATATATTTACTTTAAGGTATAAAGAAATTAGGTAGTATATGAAACGGTTTATAAAAATCAAAGTGGACAAAAAAATGCATATTGTTTAATTAATACCTTGTATGCCCACCCTTTGCTTTATAAAGGGCTTCAGCTCGATCTGGCGTACTTTCGACCAACTTTTTGCAGAAATCCGGATCAATCCTGTCCCATTCTTCATGCGTTATCCTTTTTAACTCATCAATGTTTTTTGGCTGTCTTTCCCTTATTCTTGTTTTTAGGTGAGTCCAGAGATGTTCTATTGGATTCATATCTGGTGATGGGATGGCCAGCTTAGCACAATAATCTTCTTATCTCTGAAATATTCTTTTGAATGCATTGAACGATGCTTTGGATCGTTATCTTGTTGGAATTCATATCCATTAAGACCCATTTTTGAAGCTGACAATGCAAGACAAGAGTCGATTATCCTAGTATATTTAAGGGAATCCATATTTCCCTCAATGATCGTTAACATTCCAGTGCCATTAGAGCTAAAACAACCCCAAACCATAATATTGCCTCCGCCATGTTTAACAGTAGGCTTTAAAATTTTCAAAATTATATCTTTCCCCTACCTTACGACGCACATATCTTCGCCCATCTGATCCAAACAAGTTTATCTTGGTCTCATCTGACCAGATTATGCTATTCCAATGCTCTTGAGTGTAATAAACCCATTTCTTAGCATGCTCATATCTGCTTAAAACATTTTCAGGACTTAAATATGGTTTAGGACAGGCAACTCTGCCAGGCAAACCTATAGAACACAATCCACAACAAATTGTTCTAGATGAAACACATTTTCTTTTTCTGTCATTTAATATATTTTTCAATTTATTTGATCCTAATTTAGGATTTTTGAGATATTTGCTTCAAAAAAGTTAAATCACCTGATGAGAGTGACAACTTCGGCCAGATCCCGGTTTTCGAGATGAAGACCCTCTTATAATATATTTTTTAACAATTATGGAAATTGTTGATTGATTTACGGAGTATTTTTTTTTTTGCTAACTCCATTTGGCTCATTCCAGACTCGTGGAAAGCTTCAATTTGAGCCTTGTCTTCAATTGATAATGCTTGATATGGATGCACTGAATGATAGAATTTTTTTATTTTTTTGGCGGGGGAGAAGGGAAAGGAAAAGGCAATTTTTTTCAATATGCATTTTTTTTTGTCCACTTTGATTTTTATAAACCGTTCAATATACTACCTAATTTCTTTATACCTTAAAGTAAATATATTTTTAAATATAAAATGAGAAAAAAAAACCAATTTATTTTTTAACCTTTTAAAATTAATAAATATTATCTTGCTAAATGCCATTTTTTTAATTATGTTTTTTTTTTTTTTTTTTTTTTTTTTTTTTGTCCACTAGTGTATGTAAAAGGAAAAGCACTTACCTTAGGAAGATAATAATATAATTAATAATTTCTACTTAATTTTCAATTTTAATTAACCCTTATTCAGTCGACAATACTAAAAATTATATCAATTTTACTTTTGTCGTGCAATCTATATTAAGGTACGCATCAGTGACCCCTTTATGTTCCTATTCTTTTATCAGGATTGTTTAAATAATACAATTTACGTTTAGATAAATGAATATGCCCTGGCGACGCGGGGGTGAGTATACGTAGGTGGTCTTATATTAACTCCAGTACAGCTCCAACAGTTCAAATGCGACTGAAACAAAAGTACGATCGGTAGGGTGTTGACACTTCATGACTTGAAATTCTTGAATGTGCATTTTTCCAGTCATTAAAGCCTGTAAGGAATTGGTTACACAGGTTTGGATTTCCAGGTAGGTCCGATTTGAACAAAATACATTTATAACAAAAAAACTTGCCAGTAGATTCGGAAAATATCAACCAGTCCCTTTTTATAATATCATTGTTGTTCAGTTTTCTGAAAAAATAATCTTGTGATGGACATCTCATTATTTCGCCAAATTTAGTGGCGTATAACTTAAAATTTATATCCAATTTCTGCACAGGGTGATTACGAGAGAAGTAATCGATAAGATCTGCGCTTATGGTTGTCCACCGTGCTGGATCAGAACTGAAAATACTTGAGGCTGATGTTGTTGGTAGTGATTCAGGCACCCCTGCTTGGAAGCGTCGTTAAAATTTCGTAAACCCCCGTCAGCCTCGTCTTCTGTGACATTCTCAGTTTTATTGTTTGAACATTCTTGCGAGTCCCAACAAGCCTCAGCTTCTTTAGGTCTAACCTCGATCGAGGAAAATATCTACCGCATCTGCATTATCTTCTGTCTCCTTAGAAATGTTAACATATTTCAATAAAGAACCTTTAATTTTACTAAGCGACTCACTCACTTTCTCTTTCTTTTTGCGTTTTTCATGTCCACTTTGGTGTTTCTTTTATATCCATCAGACATTTTTCGCTAAAAAAAAATATTTAAAAAAAGCTTTTATAAATTGCGCATAAAAGTTTAAAATAATTTTTAACTTTCTGATATACCATAATAAAAGTGATGGGCACGCACAAAACTAAAATTTAAACTTGTTTTCTCCTTCTTCTCGTCACCTTTAAATATACATTTTAGTTTGCGCCCGTCGCTTTTATTATGCTATCGAAAGCTAAAAAGTTATTTTAAATTTGTTAAGTAATGCATTTTAAACTTGTAAAAACGGAAACCCAGATTTACGAGTATGGATTAAAATTTAAGCTATTCCAAAGGTGATTGGGACTGTACTACTTCTACGACTACTACTGAGATTTTTACAATAGTATGGCCAAACCACCCCATAGTAGGCCTACTCAAAGTTCCTTGCATTGTGCTGCATTCTACGGCGGACTATTATACTAATAAGAAGTGATAAAATGAAAATTCTATTATTTATAATGGAATGAAGCAATATTCCAGAATCAAAAACTAGGTTGGAAATAAGTAGAGTATAAAAACAACTTTCCTTTACTTACCTTACTTATAATAAATTTAACTTCCAGTTTTTAAACTAAAGATTGACTTGGGGTTGAGCGGGATTAAATACAAGCACAGGCATACATGCTCTATCGTAGTGTTTACATATTAACTATTACACAACTGAGCTACTAAAACAAAAGACCTTAGCAGCAGGGAAAACCTCTCGATCGCGCGCAAAGCGTTTGGTAGTGGGCATGGAAACGTGGCCAACTGTGTCAAACGCATGTGCCCGTCCGAGAGGTTTTCCCGGCGGCTAATGTCTTGTCATGTTCATGTACTAAAACCCTGGAATTCTGCATGGAATTTGGTAGATATAAAAGTTGCATTGTTGCAGATAAACTCAATTCTGGGAATATGGCTATTGAAAATGGCTCTATGAAAAATAAAAACATTAAAATCCCAAAATAAAATAATGTTATTTTACCGCATCATCACATTTTCGGATTTATATCTACAACAAAATTATTATTTAATATTAGCGGTCAATTTCAGTTAAAAAATGTTTATTATTTCGGGGCCTACGCTGCTGGAGTGCCTAGGGCCTACGACACCCTTAATCCGGCCCTGTCCACTGTTGATTTGAGTAATCTGCCACTAACTTCAGTCCTAATGATTTGAGAAAAGAATGCCTGTTTTTAAACTGAGTTGGTGGTTCTTTTGTTGAAAGTAAGATTATCCGTGCATCAATTGCTGCAACATTTAAAAGTGAGAAACAAATCACCATAGGCCACCGTTTCGATACTCTAGCTGTAGAATATGCTGCTTCCATTTCATCTACAACATTTACTGCTCCTTTGGCTAGATTATAAAATGAAATGATAGTTTTTCTGTCTGAGTTTATCCACATCTCTTCTACTCGGACGATCTCGGATATCATCAAACCGAAGGCATCTTAATAGGAAAAGAAATCACTTACATAGGACATTGTTTTAAGTGCTTTGATTTCACATTCATCCATTTTCTTTGCATCACACTCACGTACAAAACACTTCTGAATGGAATCGATGCAAATATTTGTATATTGAACTATTATTTCTCTCATGTCTGTGTCAATGAGCAGAGACCAGGAATCCAATGGTGTTGATGCATCTTTCAAACAACCAGTATTTCCTGAAATTTTGAAGATATTTTTTTTTAGAACTAGTCCTAACATTCGTTTGGGAATTTGTGTTTCTTCCATATCAGGCCATTTTTACCAACATAATTTTCATCTTTTGATTGATTTTCTGATTCACTCTCTAATTCAGTGTCTGTATCACTGTCTGTTGATGAATTATGATTGCTGTTGTATTCTTCATCTATTAATTCTTCCTCCTCTTCGCTAAACGATTCATCATCTGTTGAAATGGTTTCTAGCATATTCTCAACCTTTCCATTTCTTTATCATAGCTTAGATGCCTCGCCTACCTAAGAAAGTGAGGGTGAAAATATGAGAGACATGAGAAGGCGTGCAGGTGTCACATACCCAAATGATGCAATTCATAGAAAAATATTCAAAGAATCACTCCACGGACATTCCAGCTTCAAGAATGTGACCTTGAATTCAGCTACAAAAAGTTTCACCCATTTCCAGGAAAGGGGTTTGGAGATAAGGGACAAAGACTATGCCCGCGTGTGCTTGCGGGTTAAGAAAGGTCATTGAATGTTAATAGTGAGTAGATCTTGGATTCCATTCAAGGTGAACAGGTCCACTGGCCCCATTTGCGTCGGGGGGGATGTATATGAAATCATCTTTAGAAAGTTTTTCACTTATTAATTATTTCCAGTTATTATTTTACTTACTCAAACACATATTGTTAATGTTAATCTGGCCTGTGTGTATGGGTGGATGTGGAAAAAAAAAAAAAGGGTGTATACGAAATTGCCTTTAAAAAGTTTTTCACTTATTAATCATTTCCACTTATTATTTATTATTTCACAGTCAAACACATATTGTTAATGTTAATATGGCCTGTGTGTGGGCGTGGAAAAAACGGTGCATACAAAATCGGCTGTAGAAAGTTTTCCATTGCCTCAGCTGTACAGTGGTTAATGACTGTTGACTACCATACCAAAGGACCCAGGTTCTCCGGAAATCACAGAGAAGCCGTGGATGTTTATTTAAATGTTACAGTTTCTCTGCTACAATAGATTCAAAATTGCATTATAGTATCATCTTCAGTCTGCGTTTAATAATATTTCCAATTGGCACCAACTTTGGAGAATTAAAATCAATGACTTCACTAAATTTACAACAGTATTATATAAAATTCATAAAGCCAGCAGAAATTTCAGCTCCCTGACATGGATATTTGTTTCAACACTGCAGTTAAATATCTCGGAGTA